AAGTAGAATTGATTTATCGGAATTATTAACCTCCTCCCCTGATTGGCTGAGAGACCAAAAGAAGGGTGGGGCTTAAGCTGTGACGTCAATCAGTGTTTTGAATTATGTATCTGGGTTGGTGTTTGTATTACCCACTGCTGTATCCTGTGTCGAAGGTTCATACATCTTATCCTCTAGTATTGAGAATTTGAACAGAATAAAAGTAAGAATTAGTTTAACAGCATACAACAGGCATTACTTTTAACACAGTGCAGTAAACATTATTTTTTAGCGGGAGGAAAGTTATTAATGTTATGTTTAATATGTTTGACGATTGTAATGTTAAATACAAGGAATAAATCATGTATGTGTGTTTTTCTTTTAGCATTTGTTATGGTCGATTTTTATAAAAAAAAAATTCTGGGCGAATTTCGAGAAAAAAATAATGATATAGGCTATGATCGCCAAAGGGCCAGATAGAACCTTATCAGAAAATTGGAGGGGACTTACGGTAGGCTTATCATGGAGTAAGAGTGATAGATGAACGTGGAGGTGGGGGGGGGGGTGCAGCTAGGAGGGGGTGAGGAAGGAGGAGGCAAAGTCATGGAGGGGGAGGGAGGATGCTGAGGAGGTGGAGGAGGGAGAAGAAGGGGAATGGACGTCCTTTTGGAAGGCTTACTAGAAAGTCTCCTCCTCTACTCTGTGCTCCCTCTCCCTCCTCTTCTCTCATCTTTTCTCTCCTCTTCTCTCATTCTCCCTCCTCTTCCGTCACTCCCCTTTTCTCTTTCACTTCCTCCAATCTCCCCTAAGAGGAAGTTGGCCTTGTGCCCCCTCCGGCCCTACGGCGTCCAAGAGTCATCTGCGGAAAAAAGGGAAAAAAATTGGTCTCTGGTCAAGACATTTCGACATTCGCTCCATTCTGTGTTGTTGTTTTCGGTAATTTTTTTTTAGTATTGTTGTATGGAAGGGGAGGAGGAGGAAGAGGATTGGATATCACGTATTGTTCTTCTTTTCTCTTTATTGGTGGATAATTTACTTCTTATATCATCAGTTTGATGTTGAGAAGAGAACTGAAGCTAATTAGAAAGTAACATCGATCAGGGATGTGTCTGAGCGCGTGCGTGTGTAGGGTGTGTGTATAAGGGTGTGTTTAGATGTGTGTGTGTGTGTGGGTTTGGTTCTCATTCCCCTTCAATATAAGCTTGGAAGAGTGAAACAAAATCTAAAAAAATAATAAGCTTGAGAAATAAGGCACTTAACATCACGGAACTGAAAGTGGAATGACCTGTATAACAATCAACACACTGGCATATGACGAAACATTCATACAACTCCTTATTTTAGTCTCCTACATACGAGGCCTTATCACCCGAGTCTTTTCACCACCTGTATATCATACTTGAGAAAAGAGAATAAACTAGTAATAATATAAGAGAGTTGGAGTCTATTGTTGAGGTCGTACGTGTCTGCTGGTGACGAGAGAGCCTGGCACAACTCTCATTTATTACGTCCTATTGTTTCAGGCTGATCTCTTCCTTGTGTTGATCTTGTCTTCTTCGTTGTTGCGGAAGTGGTTAGTAGACCGGTGTTGATTTAGAGGTGGAGGAGGTCAAGAGGAAGGGGGGGAGGGGGAAGAGGTCACAGGAACGGGGGAGGGAAGAGGTCACATGAAGAGGGAGGGAGGGAGGTCATAGTTAGAGGGATGAAAGATTTTAGGGAACATGTATGGTGTTGAAGAGGTTGGAATATGGGAAAGAGTGAGGAATAGGAAAGGGGGAGGGACAAAGGAAACGGAGAGGAAGGAAAAGAAGTAGGGTGACAAGTGAAGGGAGTGGAGGGAAGGAGGAATGGAAAGGGATAGAGGAGGCAAGGAAAGTAGATAGAGGGAAGGGGAAGGGGTAAAGAACAAGTCAAATGGGAGGAGAGAAAGGGGAAGGGGTAATGGTAGGGGGACAATGGAAAGGGGATGTAAGTATAGGGAAGGGATAGGGAGGAGTAAGAAACAATTAACGGGCAACACCTGGACGCGTGACAGCCACACCTCATCATGTTATACTTTACCTGAGTAAGAAAAATCTACATGTGAAAACTGGTCGTAAATCTTTTCAGACGACTAACCTAACCTAACCTAACGTAACCTAATTGAATCTTTGTGATTAGATGAGGTTAAAGTTGGGGTCTATTAGGAATGGGGCCCAGGTAACCACTCTCTTCCAACGTGAGATATATTGTTTGTACGTGAGTTATTGAGTCATCACTACCAGGTATCCTACCCCCCTCGCCTTAACCTGATCTCCACCCTGTTCCATCATCCATATACACCCCCCATTTACCCCCATCCACTACCCATACACCCCTTCACTCTTCTTTCTCTCCATCCCCATATGATTTCCCCCACATTTACCATCCACCCATAAACACCCCCCTCCCTCAGCCCCATAATCCCCCCACTCTTTACCATTCCCCACCCCTCATACACCAACTCCTTACTCCCCTCCCCACACAACACCTCCCTCGCACCACAACACCACCCCCCACAACACCGTCTCCCCCACAACACCGTCTCCCCTACAACACCCCCACCTTCTCTCCAGCCTAGTACATCAACGTTACTGTCGGCCAAGGTAGCATTTAATTACTTTTTAATTTCTCGGTAGATATACTTGGCCTACGGTGCTGATGATAATGATGATAAAAGTAATGGTAATGGTGATGATGATGATGATGATGGTGATGATGATGAAGGTTCAGGGTAACCAGGTAGACCCAAGAAGTACCGTCAGGAGAGCGGCTCCTTTGATAACCCTCCTCTTCCCTCCTACCCCCCCCCCCCTCTTCCCTCCCACCTCCTCCCCGATCTCCTTCTCTTCGTCCTCACCGCTCCTCCTCTACATCCACTTATCAACCCTCCTTCCTCCCAGTTCCTTTTCGTTCCAATCTCCTTACTCCCCCTTTCCTATTCCCCTCCTCATTGTAGTAGGTCTTACTCTGATATAAAGTTAGTGCATATTTTAGTTAACTTTATAAAGAAATGATTGATACAGTAAACGGTACTTGAATACATAAGCTTTAAAAGTACTTACACATTCTAAACAACACAGATAGTCAAGTACGGGTCTTGCATCATTTCTTGCTAAGTCTAAATGTATGCAACATTCCCATAGAGTTTCGTAGCAATTGCTGGAATATTGCACGATATTCCCCTACCTATTTTCATCTTGTTGTATTATAGACGTTTAAACACGACTGGAAATATTTTTGGGTGTACTAAGTCTGAGGTGAATTAAGTAACATAATATATAAAATTCCTTTGTTGGTAATTATGTACAAAGAAAGAATTTCCAGTTGAATTTTCGACTAATGTATGGCAATTATTCAGAATAATGTTAAAGAATGCGAATTGTTTCCAGTAATTGTCAAGTAATGAGATATATTGCAGCTTTCTGTGGAAAAAACGCAATTAATTCCGATTTTTCGAATATTCAAATCATAAATAGATATTATAATTACTACTACGATACTGGTCTTCCGGATTTCGACAGTTAACTGATCACTTTATTACTCCTTAGTGCACAGGTGTAAGTGTAAGTGTCACAGGTGCAGTTAATGACCCTCATAACACGTTGTCGTGACTCGGGTAATTAGAGTGAGTCATTAGCCGTATAACACCAGCGGTAGTTAAGTGTGACAGTTGCATGATGTAAGTGATGGAGTGTCGCCCTTACTGACTGACCTTGATGGCTTCCTTTGCACCCTGTGTGGTAAGAGAAGCATTTTGGTATCAAGTTACTCAGTATATTTATGTAAGTTTGTTTATAAAAAATTGTACACACACACACACACACACACACACACACACACACACACACACTATATTAATACGACATAGTATCAGACAGGCAAGCAAATATACAGAGAAATAACAGATAAATCACATATATATATATATTAAACGTAATAATAATAATAGCAATGATAACAATAATAACAATAGCAATCGTCAATCCATCGAAATATAAAATAATAATGTTCCATATACAGTATATTGTAAAACGGTGTAAACAGAAAAGGTGGTTCTCAGATCGTAAACTGGCAAGGCAAAGATGATCACCACATTGGAATATTCAAATGAAGGGAGTGAGAGGGCACTGGCCTCCTCGTTCCCCTGTCAACTTATCACCTTGTATCTGGTATTCTGGATCAGCTAGGCACACTCAAGGACCTGGGCAGAGAAAGAGAGAGGGGGGAGGGTGAAGAAGTAAGAGAGAGAGGTAGAGGAAGGAGGGGGAAGGTGAAGAAGAGAGACAGAAGTAGATAAGAATTAAAGGAGAAGATGAAGAAGTAAGAGAGAGTGAAGTAGAGAAGGAAAAGGTGAAGGAAGTAAGAGAGCGAGAGAAAGAGAGAGAGAGAGTTGGGAAATAAAGAGAATTATAGAGATTGGGGGTACAAAAGGTGGAAGTATAGGCATAAATGTGAGTAACTATCGTATGGTTACAGTCTTACGAGAAAAAACAAACATTATATTTACTTTATGCTTAAATGTCTATGAACATTATGGTTAAAGGTAAGTGTTGTATATCTTCTAGTATAATATTATACTTACTAGTAAGTCAGTAGAACATAAGGTCACTATTGCATGCCTTTGTTTGGACACACTATGGAACAGTAAGTACTAAAACAAATTTACTGGTTTATGTTGATGATTAAGGACTGATGCCATTTGTCTCATGTGTAATAACGCTGTAATTTTCCACCATAATTTTATAAGATTATCCTTTGGTATCCTCATTTAGAACTTTTTCTCACAGAACATAAACATATGATGGCCGCCCCCATCACATAACACGTAACACTCACACCATAAATCACGTCCTGCGTATAGTAATAAATGTCTCTCTTTAACAAACACGTTTCCTTCATTATCAAATCGTTCCTCCAATTTGTTTTGTTTTTTTGACTGAATTACATCAGAGACCAAAAAAATTCTTCCCTAATGACCCCATTTTTCTTTCCCTCAACAGGAGCCAATGGTCTGCGGCGCCGCGGGAGACAGACCTACACACGGTACCAGACTCTCGAGCTGGAGAAGGAGTTCCACACAAACCACTACCTAACTCGGCGAAGAAGAATAGAAATGGCACATGCCCTCTGCCTCACCGAGCGACAGATCAAGATCTGGTTCCAAAACCGAAGGATGAAGCTGAAGAAGGAGATCCAGGCGATTAAGGAGCTTAATGAGCAAGAGAAGCAAGCACAATCGGCGAAGATGGCACAGCAAAACGCTGCCAACAATGCCCAATCCATGACCTCTAGCCAGGGGGCGGGAGGGGGGCCCGGTGGGGAACAGAACCCCCCGAACCCCACGCAAAACTAACGACACAACTTCATCTATAAGCTAGGTTTAAG